TTTATCAATTAGTTCATAAATAATAGAGGAGAATTCATGGGTTGGGATAGAAGTGAACAGGCTTTTGACATCGAAAGACGAGTGTGCCAAATAGAATGGAACTTCAATATTTTTCAAATTATCTAGCAACTCAAAAGAATTCTTTATGGCAAATTTTGATTGAAAATTGATCATGGAAGGAAGTGTTTTATATTGTTATTATATTTGATATCATCAAGATCGTTATAGCAACTATTTACAGTAAAAATAAAATCATTATAGAGGGTTAGTAAGTTATCTCTCACTTGGTTTCTGATATTTTCTGACCTGGGTACTTTCGTTTTTAAAACTCTTTTTGACTCTTTAATAACTTCTTCTTTCAAATTTGATAACTTTGATTAAAATTTCCTTCCCAAGTTAACTTTAACCAATTGACATTAAAATGTGAATAAACCAAAAATAAAAATTTTTTTTTTTTTTTTTTTTATATTTAATACTAATATAATAATCATAAAATAGTACATTAAATATATAATTATTATAAAATATATATAAAAATATAAAATATACGTAAACGTAAATTTAAAATTAAAATAATTTCATCAATTTTTTTTTTTTTTATCAAATAAAAATATAAATCATTAATACATATTTTAATTCCCCCTGTTAGATATTGTAAAACGTTGCTTGACCTTAATAAAAACTTAAATTTTTTTTTTTTTTAATAATAAAAACAATAAATATACCGAAAGTCCTTTGCTTTCATTGTTGAAACATGATCTGCTGGTTTTATTGGCATCGGTTACTGTTATAATTTTTATTTTATTGTTCTTCTGGGGAAGTTCGTATATGGTTTTCACTTGTATTTTTCATATACCATCAGAAACCAAACGTCTTGTAAGTCACAAACATAGACAGTACATACCATTGATTTTTGTGTTGGAGTTTTTTTTCGGTGTTACTTAGCTTAGCATCCCCTAAGCATCTTCGACAGCGTGGGGTTGAGGAGGTCTTAGGTACATACTTCTGCTTATATTTCTCTTCAGCCCTCTTCTATACGCCTTCCGTAGCTTCACCACGGTTATGATAACGATGCAGCATGTAGTGATATACATGAGAATCTTCACATCAAGCGGTACGCCCGACAATCCTTGTTCATCAACAATAAAATTCGAAGTAACCACTCCCGAACTTGTAACGTCACTTTCTTTCGACACTGTTTTTCCCATTTTTGATTATTATTTTAATGTACTTAATTCATTCGCGTCCACACCGTACTTCAGGTGCCCGACGTGACATAGACGACAGCCGTAGCCAAGATCGCCCATATGTAAAGGTGTGTTTAGGGTCATGCAAAAGATTACTCGATTGCTGCCATACTAATACCTGCAGGTCCTAATAGATCCTGGCAGGATCGCCATGTAAGAATGTGTTTAGGGTCATGCAAAAGATTACTCGATTGCTGCCATACTAATACCTGCAGGTCCTAATAGATCCTGGCAGGATCGCCATGTAAGAATGTGTTTAGGGTCATGCAAAAGATTACTCGATTGCTGCCATACTAATACCTGCAGGTCCTAATAGATCCTGGCAGGATCGCCATGTAAGAATGTGTTTAGGGTCATGCAAAAGATTACTCGATTGCTGCCATACTAATACCTGCAGGTCCTAATAGATCCTGGCAGGATCGCCATGTAAGAATGTGTTTAGGGTCATGCAAAAGATTACTCGATTGCTGCCATATTAATACCTGCAGGTCCTAATAGATCCTGGCAGGATCGCCATGTAAGAATGTGTTTAGGGTCATGCAAAAGATTACTCGATTGCTGCCATACTAATACCTGCAGGTCCTAATAGATCCTGGCAGGATCGCCATGTGTAAGAATGTTTAGGGTCATGCCAAAAGATTTACCGATTGCTGCCATTTACTCAATACCTGGCAGTCCCTTAATAGATCCTGGCAAGGATCGCCATGTAGGTTAAAAGAAAAAAATGTGTTTAGGCGGTCATGCCAAAAAATGATTACTCGATTGCTGCCATACTAATACCTGCAGGTCCTAATAGATCCTGGCAGGATCGCCATGTAAAATGTGTTTAGGGTCATGCAAAAGATTACTCGATTGCTGCCATACTAATACCTGCAGGTCCTAATAGATCCTGGCAGGATCGCCATGTAAGAATGTGTTTAGGGTCATGCAAATGATTACTCGATTGCTGCCATTCTAATACCTGGCAGGTCCTAATATATCCTGGCAGGGTCGCCATGTAAGAATGTGTTTAGGTTCATGCAAATGATTACTCGATTGCCGCCATACTAATACCTGCAGGTCCTAATAGCATCCTTGGCAGGATCGCCATGTAAGAATGTGTTTAGGGTCATGCAAATGATTACTCGATTGCCGCCATACTAATACCTGCAGGTCCTAATAGATCCTGGCAGGATCGCCATGTAAGAATGTGTTTAGGGTCATGCAAATGATTACTCGATTGCTGCCATACTAATACCTGCAGGTCCTAATAGATCCTGGCAGGATCGCCATGTAAAAATGTGTTTAGGGTCATGCAAATGATTACTCGATTGCTGCCATACTAATACCTGCAGGTCCTAATAGATCCTGGCAGGATCGCCATGTAAGAATGTGTTTAGGTTCATGCAAATGATTACTCGATTGCCGCCATACTAATACCTGCAGGTCCTAATAGATCCTGGCAGGATCGCCATGTAAAAATGTGTTTAGGGTCATGCAAATGATTACTCGATTGCTGCCATACTAATACCTGCAGGTCCTAATAGATCCTGGCAGGATCGCCATGTAAAAATGTGTTTAGGGTCATGCAAAAGATTACTCGATTGCTGCCATACTATCACCTGCAGGTCCTAATAGTCCTGGGCAGGATCGCCATGGTAAGAATGTGTTTAGGGTCATGCAAAAGATTACTCGATTGCTGCCATACTAATACCTGCAGGTCCTAATAGATCCTCGGCAGGATCGCCATTGTAAGCAATGTTTGTTAGGGGTTCATGGCAAATGATTACTCGATTCTGCTTGCCATACTAATACCTGGCAGGTCCTAATAGATCTGGCAGGATCGCCATGTAAGAATGTGTTTAGGGTCATGCAAATGATTACTCGATTGCTGCCATACTAATACCTGCAGGTCCTAATAGATCCTGGCAGGATCGCCATGTAAGAATGTGTTTAGGGTCATGCAAATGATTACTCGATTGCTGCCCATTATTTAATACCTAGCAGGTCCTAATAGATCCATGGCAGGATCACGCCATGTAAAGGAATGTGTTAGGGTCATGTAAATGAATACTCGATTGCTTGCCATACTAATACCTGCAGGTCCTAATAGATCCTGGCAGGATCGCCATGTAAGAATGTGTTTAGGGTCATGCAAATGATTACTCGATTGCTGCCATACTAATACCTGCAGGTCCTAATAGATCCTGGCAGGATCGCCATGTAAGAATGTGTTTAGGGTCATGCAAATGATTACTCGATTGCTGCCATACTAATCCATCTCTTGCCAGGCGGATAAAGAGATACCAATAAGTTCTGATCCCATGTAAGAAATGTGTTTAGGGTCATTTAAATGATTACTCGATTGCTGCCATACTAATACCTGCAGGTCCTAATAGATCCTGGCAGGATCGCCATGTAAGAATGTGTTTAGGTTCATGCAAATGATTACTCGATTGCTGCCATACTAATACCTGCAGGTCCTAATAGATCCTGGCAGGATCGCCATGTAAAATGTGTTTAGGGTCATGCAAATGATTACTCGATTGCTGCCATACTAATACCTGCAGGTCCTAATAGATCCTGGCAGGATCGCCATGTAAAAATGTGTTTAGGGTCATGCAAATGATTACTCGATTGCTGCCATATTAATACCTGCAGGTCCTAATAGATCCTGGCAGGATCGCCATGTAAGAATGTGTTTAGGGTCATGCAAATGATTACTCGATTGCCGCCATACTAATACCTGCAGGTCCTAATAGATCCTGGCAGGATCGCCAACGTAAAATGTTTTTCACTATTAAAAAAAATGAAATGTTTGTGACATACAAGTGTCTGTTGGTGCTGTCTAATTAATTAATTCAAACTGACTTACTATAATGTTTATTTACCACTTTGAACATTTTCATTGCAGTTCTTCTCCAAAATATTAGATATTTTGCGAAATAAAACAATAATTGACCACAATACACCAAACACTTTTACAACCATGTTAGCCATTATCAGCGGATTGGTTAAAAATGAAAATTAGCTATTTTCCTTATTTTTTTTTTAGTTTGTTGTATTGTTCGTCTTTCTTCTTCTTACTATACCTTGTCAGGTCCCCCTAACTGACATTGGCAATCATGATGGCGGGCTGATCCATGTTTTCAGCCACACTTTGTACGTTACTAGAAGTTAAATGAATAATTCATATGGTCTATTTTTAACCATCTCATGAATATTAGATAATTTCATAAGATTTAAAGTCTTATGATGCAATTTTTACTGTAACCAGATTTAGACGGTACACGTCCCATAGGGAAAACCTTAAACTTTGTCGAAAACAATTCGACAATAGTTAATTTAATCATTATTTCCGAGCCAATTTTGAGCTGTTTTTTTATAAATAAAAAAAAAAAAAAAATAAGCAAAAAATAATAAATCTTTACTTGAAAAATACATAATTAACTTAAACTTTATTTAAATTAGAGAGTCATGAACCTAATGATTTTTTAATTAATTAAAATTATCAATAAGGAATTTAGAGTTTGAAGCAAACTGCCGGGATTTATCACACTCACAGTTTACTTGCTTTTCCAAGTCCCTATTGATAACTCAAGCGTATTTGATTTTACAGGATATTTTGCTATTGATATTTTAAAATACATTTTTTTTACTTTTGGAATTTATTTTCTAAAACTATTTAAGACCTTGCCACGGTACAGGATTCCTCCTTCTGCAAAAAAAAAAATTAAAAACCAAATTAAACCAATGAATTCTCGATACTCAATACTATCCCATACTAATCCTGAAGGTTGCCTTGCGGGCGGTTTCGGAGTGACGGTTAATTAAAACGACGGAGGACGGGCAGGCTTCCCAACTGCTAGGCGGCGGCGGTGTCTCAGGGCTGGCTTCTGCTTGGCGGACTGCGGCGACTGTTGCTGCTGGTGCTGGAGCTGGTGCTGGTGTTGTCGGTGGTGGTGGTGTAGGACCAACCGGGTGGGCCGGGGGCGGGGGCGGGGGCACGGGGGCGGGCTGGCTGGGGCAGGAACGTGACTTTTTCCTCTTTTTTTTTTTTTTTGTTTCGGGGGTGGAAAAAAAATCTTTTAAAAGACTGCACGAGCTAATCCCCGAAGAGAGGGAAGACTCTCGTGACTGTGTGGGACTCAGACAGCTGTTACCCACTAAAACAACCACCTCCTGGGATTTCAGCGAACCAGAAGATTTGGCAGCTATATAATCCAGATTATGAGATCAGGAGAAAAGGGACGAAGCCCTGGGCGCCCTAAGGCATGTTACGGTTGGAAGAGAAACTTTAGGGTCGATGGGAATTATAACGTTGTCCAGAAGAATTGTTTTGAGGTGACGGTACTTTGTATTCAAGTAGTCTTCAGGGTTGTAATCGAATATCTCGAAGGATGGATTTTGTATATTAGCCATGCTCCCAAAAAGGTTGAGAGCACGGTCTCTAATATGTTTCGAAACTGGATCTATAGAAGGTCTTTACGTATATCTTCATTGCGTATATTCCAGGGTGCACCGGTCATATAACGCAGGGTTTTATTTTCACAGACTTGTATTCTGCGTATTTGGTGGTCGGATGCTCTGGACCAGACAGTCGAAGCATACAAGGTTTGGGGACTGATTACTGTTTTAAACAGCAAGACTTTGTTGTTCAGTGAAAGTGAACTTTGTTTGCGGAGAAGGCCGTGAAGACTGGCATAAGTTGCACGAGCCGTGGCTATTTTATTCGTGATGTGTTGCTTCCAGGAGAGCTTTTTGTCTAAGGTGACTCCGAGGTACTTGGCGGTATTCCCCCAAGTAATCTCTTCGTCGCCTACAACAATCGGCGGAGGAGGAGCTATTCTTCGCGTTCGTCCCGTGACGAACAGTGTTTGCGTCTTTGCAGTATTTACTTTGATTTTCCAATGGGAAAAACGAGTTAAGTAAATCTGTGATGTGGGGTTGTAAGGCTCTATGTATGCCTTTGCTTGAGGCAGTGGCGAAGATACAAGTATCATCCGCGAAGAGGCGCAGTTCGTATCGGTGGATTGGAAATATCGGAAGTTGTAGATGTGGTCATGTGAGTGAGGTGAGAGGACTGAACAACACAATATATGGTACACCAGCTTCAATGGAGCGTGATGTTGAAAGGGAGCTACCGATACGAACTTGGAATTTCCTGTTAGCTAGGAAGGATTTTACTAAAAGAGTGATCGCTTTGGGAAACTTATGCAGGTGGTGTAGTTTATACACTAAGCCTTCATGCCAAACCTTGTCAAAGGCCTTCTCAATGTCAAACATGACAAGACCAGTGCCTCGCTTAGCGTTTAGGCCTCGCATAATGTGTTCCACCACGCAGGCAACCTGTTGTTCACAGGATAGGGCTCTACGGAAACCAAATTGTTCCGTAGGGATGATGTTACGATCTTCAATAAAGTCGTTCACTCTTGCCAGAACAATCCTTTCTGCTATTTTGGAAAGGGACGGAAGAAGACTAATGGGGCGCCAATTCACAGGAAATGTGTGGTCTTTGTTTTGGTTTGGAAATAACAATAATAATTGGCGCTCTTCCAGGGTTTTGGAAAAAAAACCGATAGGTAAGCAGAATTGCCGTTATTTATGTTTAGTGAAAAATATAATCATATGGGTGGGAGCTTTTGATTGTTTGGTTGTTGATATTATCAACACCAGGGGCTTTCCTATTTTTGAGGATAGAGATGAGCGTTTTAACTTCCTTTGGAGTGGCAAGGGCAATATGTGACCTGGGGGGCGAGTTTTTAAGTTTCAAACAGATCAAAAAGTACTTCATCTCTCCGGAAGTCAACTCGACGAGGTGTACACGACAGGAACCAGTCATCTTCTGGGTCGTTATTTGGCCTAAATTGCAATTCTAATGAGTCAGCAAAAGCCGTGGCTTTCGCTTCGTCGGAGAAGGCAACGGCGTTTGGACCATGAATGGGCGGATAATATTGGGAATTATACTCTCTCT